GAATGATGAAGAAGGCTGATGAAAACCATGCATTATATTTAGGGTCACAAGGACACTCAAAGTTTGTCTCCACCAGCTTCTCTAGTCCAATGAGTATGAAACTAAATACCACATTTGACGTCAGAGGGCTGTTGCTAAACACCTTGTTTAGCATGTCAAACCATTTGTTCCCTCCCATAATATACGAACCTGTAAAATAAAAATAAAAAAAACCTTTGTGAACACATTTTCAACAGCTAAGTGATGCGTACATCACTCCATGAGCACATCCATGAGGTAAGTTTTCCCATCAGAGAAAATGCCACACTTCCACTCCGATTGGTTTTGAACAAAGCAGGGAGAGGAGCATGCTCTGACATATCCACACCCGATTGGTCCATGCAAGGTTTCAGGTGGGGTTACATTTTAAATGTGATTCCCCTTGGGCAAACTGGACGAAGGGCTGTAAAGTGGAGGGACGTTTGTTCTGCAACAGCGAACATTTGCATCAGTCTGGCTGACAACACATACGAAGGTTGAGGGGAGTCAGGCTTTTGTGTGAATAGAAACTACTGTACCAGCTAAAGGGCACCGTTGATCTCATCTGTCACTGTGATGTGAGTGAGGACTTCAGTCAAGACTTCAAATTATGAAACCATTCCTTTCACTAAAGCTTTAGGTTTGAGACATCTGGACTCAGGTTTAGTCCAGTAAATCCCTCTAAGATAACGCCCCTGATTATAGGACTACAGTGATCGCAAAGAAAATAGAAAATTAAAGCCGAGCGGAGCAATACTGAAAATGAACAGAGCAGCACCTTCATCCCGAGGCTTCTGTTCAGTGATGATATTTTCAAAGAGGGGTATTTGCTTAACCTTCACCACAACACTGACAGGTCTATTATCATTTACTCCAACCAGCCGCACGACGTCGCTCATGCAGCAGAGTGGATTACAGGAGGCCATGTTGATCTTTCAAGGGGATGTGGTACATGCAGCTTGAGAACACCGGGGCCACTGATGTGATGACATAATTTATAAATGACCTCAGTGAGCTCAAGAGCATCACCATAATCTTCTCGCATTAAAAGCTGTCAAGAGCGAGTCACTCGACGCTGTGAAACAAGCTCGAGGTCAAAGAGGACCTACAAACGTGAGAAGAGGAGAAACTGCTGCAGTGCTTTAGTTTCAGAAGCTCCCCCAGATACATTACATATGTTTATATTAATGTAACCTTTAAATGCTCCTGATGAATCAGTCACAAATAACAGTTTGCAAATCCTGACTTGATCACGATCAGCTGACAATCTATGGCTCGTGTTAAATGTGGAAGGAGAGGAAACCATGGCTTGTCAGATGTATCTTGAATCAGAGACACGTTCCTCTTAATGGCTGAGGATTGAATTGTCTACGTTGAAGAAGAAACAGAAGCTCACGGGTTAAAGAGTTCACAAACAGCTGTATTAACATGCGTGTTACGTGTGTGTGTGTGTGTGTGTTTATCCACAGTCATGAGCGCATAGGGCAGGCGCAGCTTGTCCTTCTGCCGTCCGTGTCCTGCCAGCCTTAGTCCCTCTTTTTTTTTTTTTTTTTTTTAATAAAAGATTAACGATGATAAGACGCTCGTGCTTCGGTTGCATCACTTCTTGCAAGAAATATTTTGTGCGCCTCTGTTCGTTTTATTAGCAGAACCGTGACTGGTAGAGCGCAAATGCGCATCGGTCTGCGCATCTCTGAATCTTCACAACTACACGGTGGACAGTCTCCCTGACACCCAGAGACCTCTCCTCCGCACATTAGCAAGGCTTCCGCACCGCCTATGGCTGCACATCGGCATCCCTGAGCCGCCGGTCTCGCCACGGACCCTTCAGCCATCGCTGCCCTCTGAAGGTCTTTGGATACGGGAGACGTTTTTATCCACCCTTTTTAAGAATTATCCTTAAAGAACCCGGTGCTATGCTGGGCCCATCTCTCTAGATCTCGAGATCAATACACGAGCTCTCCTCCCACATTCGTCCGACCGAGAACCTTGTACTCTCCTCGATGCATCCAAACGCAGTGATGCTGGCGGTGCTCCTCCTGGGGAACTTGATGGTGCCTTTCATCTCTGCTCAAAACGGTAAGGGTGCAGATGTGACCCGGGCGTGATTGTAAACAGCGTGTGCAGGGAGGGAAAGTGGCTTGACATAAAAGCAAGGGCACCGTAGCCAAATGTTTCCTAAGAGGATTTTGAGAATAAATGCGATCAAGCCTCTGCTGGACTGTTGCACAGAAATGCAGTTGGTTCAGTTGGTAGGGTTGGGCAGCACGGGCTGTCAGGCGACACTAACCTGTTCTGGAGGCTCTGTAAGTTATTATTGACACAGTCAGACAAAATCCGCGGCCCTGGCTCTGCAGTGTGTCTTAGATAGAAAAACTTCACTGCACAGGTTGTTGGATGTTAGTCTGACAGAGCCATTACTTCTCCAGTATGTCACCTGCTGTAATACCAGCTTAAACCTCCTGGAAAAGACACCCTCACTCACATAGTGTCTGTGGAAAAGTCATTCTCAGTTATTTTAATTGGCTGCGAATATATACATTGTTGTACTGAAAAAAACAACAACAACAAAACAAAAAAAACAAAACCAAACAACAAAAAACAACAAATAGCCACTGCTAAACAAATGAAAAAATACGGCAAAATCAGGATTGGGATTAGCAATATTATCTTGTTTTTGTCAGGCTCCAGCAGTGATTCCTAAACACTGTGCGGTGGAAAATGATCACTTTAAAAAAAAAAAAAAAAAAAAAATATAATATATTTTGTATTTTCTCCAGAATTGTCCACATGTTTCACATTTGTCTTCATTAGACAATGCCACAGTGACCATAAAAAAAAAATGTAATACTTGTATTTAATACTAGATGGGCAGTAGTGGCTAGGTGGTTGAAGAACGTTTGGGGTTCATGTCTACAAGCTGTGTCACAATGATAAGTAATTCACTTTCACTTTCACTTTCACCAGGTCTCAGCATAAAGCTCTAACTAGTAAGAAAAGTGGAACCTAAAGCTGTCGAAGACTTTGTTTGCTGTTACTAGCCTGACATCCAGGTTGTCACAATGGCCAGTCGTTAGAGAGCGACTGCTTGTTTAGACCTGTCTGTACGTTATGTATTGACTGACTGTAAGAGTATTAAATCTATCAACAGGATTGGATTTATATGAAACAACAATTTTGCACCATAACTCACCTTTGTTGGACGTGCTTCGTAGCTATCCCTGCAAGGTAGAGAAAGGAAGTGATGTGCTTTTTGTGTGTAAGCTGTAAGCAAGAATTGTTGCATTTCCTTACATCAAGACATTTCTATATATGGACCGGTTGTGAGAGGCAACACGTTTTGGGGGTGGGTAATACAAAAGCTATCACAAGACAGGGGGATTTCCATTCCATCTACAAAACATTTGATCTTTACCTCTAACATGAATTTATTTTGCTGTTTTATTGTTAGATAAATCCCTCAATGTATTGACTTTCATAATATGAGAGTGGCTCCTTACAAATTTAAATTTCTTTAGATGATGATATTTATTCAGTAAAATGAAGGCACTGTTGATGAATTGCTGTAACGGATACATTTTTTATACGAGTTTTTTTTTTAGCTTAGTACCTCTGTTCATCACACTCCATCACTGTCATCAGTCAGGATGTGTTTTCACAAGTATAAGTAACATAGGCAGAGTCTTCCATCTTTTAGGTCCAAACAATACAAATGTGATTTGTTAAGCATACTACTGTATCACACACTCATTTTCTCATGGAATTGGGGGTTATTTCTTTAAGAGTTTCAAAGTTCTCCATTATACTTGATGTGTATACATACGTACACACACTGAGAGGTGGTATCTGAGCCAGCCACCCTGCCAAAGACATTCCAAACAGTTTTAAGGCTTTTTGTCCAGAATCCCTTCATGGAAGTACACACAGGCAGAGTTACTGTTCGACCAAGGTTACTGGGAGAAAGGCTGGTGCCACCGTGCCAACCATTCAATAAATGTGACAGTTCTTTATGGGTTTTGCCCAGAGATTCTCAAGTTGTTCCAGATTTAGAGCAGCATTTCATTTCAGTAAAGACACCCGACATTTATTTTAGAAATGACCGCGGCTGTAATAAGCTACAGTGTTTCACACAAAGGATAATGTTGCTCACATCACTTGTAGCCAGAATCCATTTAACTTCTTATACAGATGAAAGGTAATGGGTGTATGCTGTCCTACCTCAGATTATACAGTGATAGAAGAGAGTTCAGGAGGAGCTGCGAAGAGAATAATAGTGCATCAAGTGTATCAAATGTAATCACCGTGTCTGTGAAAAGGAAGACGTTCGTGGCTCCCGTCATTTTCTCATATTCAGGGAACGGCAGGCCTATAGGTTTCTGCGACAGTAATTTGGAGGACTGTAAATAGCACCCATCCATTCTGCAGCGTTTCTATTTTTACCACGGAGACACAGCACAGAGAACTGTGGCTTTAAGGTCCTTTTGTGAAAGTGAATCCATTAACTCTTAATGGATGGGCTCCTTGTGCACGGTTGCATGGCATTTTGAAGACCAGCTTGGTGGCTATGAACTATTTAAGTCAAGACTTAATCTGTGTGAGAAAAGAAATGAGGGCTTCTGAGAAGGTGGCTCAGACTGACAGGACTTCCTGTGTCTTGCAAGGATAGAGTAGAGGTAGAGTGATTTAGCACGTCTGTGTCAAACATTGATCACGTCTGTTTTTCAATAACCAGCCACAACATCTGTGTCATTTCCTCGTGTTAGGGCACGCACCAGTGTGAATTAGCTCTCAGTTTGAGGACTGGATCTAGAGAAAGCTATTACCACGTGTACTGCAATGTTTGCTGCATGCCAGCACCACACTTTGGGATAAGTATTTTGCGGTAATGTTCCATTAAATCAATAAACCCGTATGGTTCAACAGCTCGTCCATTATCGTGCAACCGTCCAGTCAGTGGACAACACATTGCATTCATGAATCTGGAAAATGTGCTGCAGGACTCTAGCCAGTTCTGGTCCTGAGTCATGGTTGCACACTGTGAAATCTGAGACGGCCTGCACTGATTAGGTGCAGTATCACTTTAGTGGGGCATTAAAGCCCACTGCAGACAAATACTGATGCACAGTTGTGTAGGTGAGGACTATTTTACTTTTGTTTGAGGTTTTGAACAAGAAGGTTTCAGCCGAGTGTTTTTGATTAAATAGTGAAGGTGTGAAGATGATGAAGGAATCTCCACTGACGCCGTCTTGCTTGTATATAAAAGAGTTTTTCACAAAGAATTTCAGAACTTCAAATCAGGCACCACAGTCTGCCTGGAGAGGAAACGAAGCCGTTGTGAATCCTCTGAATAAACAGTCCATATTCCCCACTTTTATACCACGGTTATTATCGCCAGTTTAAAACAGAGATGGTGGCGACTCATTGTTAACATAACAAACCCAAATTTAGAATCATATAGTACATGTTTCACTTGTACATACCCAACCCATGTAGAGAATCTCAGATACTACATGAGCTTGCATTCTTCTGTGTTGTTTTTTCCAAACCTACTTCATGTCCATACAGTCATTCACGTTTGGGAGTTCAGCCTCAGCCGTACAGCCGTACTGCTGCAGTTCACTTGAAGCTGCCTGGGTACATTCTACAAAAGACTACCTTATAGACACAGTGAAGGTTAATTCATTTTAAAATGAATGAAATATATGTTGGAAATCACTTAAATCAAACCCAGTTGTAAGAAGCGTTTCTGGACAGCTTTACCACAGAAGAATAAAAACGTCTTTAAATCAGCCTTTGTGAAAGAAAAACACGTACGTGGTAGATGATTCTAAAAATACTTTGTCTGCTAGTGACACCGGTGTCACAATAACATAGGTGATTGAGTGAGGTATGTCTAATCTCACCGTTTCTCAGCACTGTGTGGGTGTGTGCAGGGCTGTGCTTGGATGACATTTCCATGACTCACCTTATTTCTCATGTGGCACCTGTCAGAGTTGGCAAAGTTACACACCTTGTGATTGTTCGTAAGTATTTGGTGACCACTGAAGTTTTTTTAGCGACAGCTCTACTTGACTTAAAGTAGGTCGAGGACAACTAAAGAGATCCTGATGGGCACGAAAAGTTATATATATATATACATATATATATAAACATATTACCCACTCTTTATACTAGACATACCTGATCTCTGCAGCATCCCATATGCCTTTGGCATCAACATTGTAAGTATTAGGCCTGAACATGTGTTTAAATTGTCAAGATGCTTTTTTATATGTAATATAACAAACAAGCCACATGCAAATCACACACTTTTATCACCATTTTATACAGGTACAACATAGACACCCACAACTCGATGCGAACGCATGGCCCTGCACATACTGTAACCAGTCGAGTGGCTCTGGGGGTTTCCTACATGCTGCTCACTCTGTCTGTGCTTTCAGCTGAGGACAGGGATTCAGGTTGTAGGCAAGAGACTGACTCACTCGCAGGCTGCATGCTAGTGGTGTGTGGCGGGCTGTCAGTCCTCAGGGGAGCTCTTTTCTCTACCTACATCAGTGGACTACGTAGGCATTAATGACTGTGGTTTAGACACAGCGTTAAAAGAAGATTGTCACAGACAATTACAGGATGATTGTGTGACACTATTGTGGGATTGTTATGTGGCAACAAAGTCAGCTCAAGTGTGCGAGAATGTAATTTTGTGTTGAATTGCACTTGTCCAATCATACTCATAATCCCCTAATATCCATGGCCTGCTGAAATCGAGAGAGAGACACAGTATTGTGTTGTAATAAATCCCATATTTTATTCAGTTGCTTATAGTTTTAAAAATGACCTTTAGTAAAATAACCAGCAGCACATAATCTGGTGAGTTCCAATGTTGGATTGTGTTCATTGTTCGTTGTAGCTGAATGGTTAGGGTTTACAGTCGGGGCTGGTAGAAAACAGTACTTAGATTTCCAGACACTCCTCAGTCATAACATGGAGTCAAGTCAATACTAGAGTAACCTTTCTGAAAAAGAAATGTGATAATATATATATATATATATAATGAAAATAAAACCTGAAAACAGTTGTGGATGTAAGACATCAATAGATGTCATCGTTAAGACAAAGACCTCTTCAAGTCTTTGTACTTTAACCTTAACAACATTCACAAAATTCGGCCAAACCTTCATACTCGTTTATACCAAGACTGCCTGCAGGAACATGTAAAAACAGATTTGATCCACATAGTAAATGTTAATATATTAATAAAATAATAATATGATATAATATATTAATATAATTTAATATAACCACCATACTGTATTACGACCACTGACTAGTGAAGTGAATACAGTGGTCCCTCTCCTATCGCGGTAGTTGCGTTCCAAGACCTACGGCGAAAAGGGAAAATCCGCGAAGCAGGGGCGAGATAGTTTTTATATAGTATAAGTATAGTATAGTATCTCACCCCTACTTCGCGGATACTACTTGCGTATATATTTACCCTTTATGAACCTCCCCACACTGTTATCAATGTATAAGACATACATATTACGTAAATAAACGAAATACACATTGTGGAGGCGCGGCGGAGGTTAGCGCTCAGCTGCAGGAGGGAAAGCACGGGAGCACCGACGCAGATGCAGCCCCGGCCGCAGGTGAACGCAATTGGAGTAATCAAGCCTCTACTTATATTAGTAGAAGGAGCAGGAAATGGACGGACCGTATATGAAAGGTGGGCACAGCGCAGGAGCGCACATTATTGTAAACAAACGGGAACAGAAGTGAATCCTCAACTAACACTTTCGTATGTATAATTATTTTATAATGTCTTTTAGTTTAAAATGTTAAGAATTTAAGAAAAAATCAGTTAAAAAAATCCCCCCGCGATATAACGAAACGGATAAAAAAAAATCCGCGATGTACTGAGGGAGCGAAATTAGAACCGCGATATAGAGAGGAAACACGTTTTTTTCTTTATATCGCGGTTAGAAAGGGAACAAAAGAACAGTCAACGTGTTTGAAAAACTCCCAAATATAAAGATTTGACAAGGTCCAAACTGAAACGTCTCGAAGAACTGGGCAGGGTTATCTACAAAAATGCAGTTTTTATGGGATATTCCCAATTTTTTAGTGGTCATTACCAAATTAGGGGCTGGGATTAAATTCAACAGACAGTTGGATTTTTAAATTTAAAATACTTACACAATGTATAGCTTGTAAAAATGGCTGATTAAATTTAGCTTCAAGTGATACAAGCACAAATATATATTTATACAAGATCAGCTGATATTTATCAAGACATAATATCAGCTGAACTCAGACAATACCCATGACCTTTAGTCGACATATAACCAACATTTACACCTGTATAATCCCTAAGGAGTCCAGACCACCTGGCTGATAAGTTTTGTTTTGACTGGCAGTATATGACCGCATATTTAAGCAAATAAAAACTGAAGTTTGCGCTGCGTGTATATCTCCTCAGAGCCTTCCAGAATCCAAATGTAAATGAAGTCATCTGTTCCTGTTCTTGATTAAATATGCCATACTCTAAAAGTGTAGGCAGATGCCCCCTCTGGGATGAGGCGGTGAGCGAGATGGAGCCAGATGTTTCCAGAGAAAAGAAACAAATGCTAATTACTCTGCACATGTCCAAACATCACACATGAAAACATGAATTGTGAGCATCTTAAATCCACTGCCACTTCTCCAGCAGTAGAAATCCTCATTGTTATCTGGTCTCAGCCTCTCATCCGTCCTCTTATTTTCATTCGACTGGGAGTCACGAGCTAGTGTCGGGCTTCAGACTTGTTACCATGGCACTACTTGGAATGGGAGTATTGCAAAGTATGTGATATATTTTGGCTGCACTACGACAGCCTGTCTGGGTTCAGTGCAAAGAGAACAGTGTTTGTTAAAGCTGTGTAAGTATTGTGTGTTGTAGTATGATCCCACATCTTCTCACATGTTACTAATATATGAATAAATATCCTTACTGGCAGCTGAATCTGAAGTACTATTTAAACAAGATAAAGTTTCATTACTAATACTGGTGGAATATACCTTTAGTTAGTTGCAGTTAGACTGAGTACATTTGATGATTCTTTGTTCCAAGCAGGTCGACTATTCATGTGGTGGTTGTAAGCTGCTGCATTATAATACAACACACAGTCTTCCACTCATGGGACCACATGCTACCTGTTCCAATTTCCTCTGTATTTTTTGGTGTAGATGGTATACAGCTGACGGCCTGCGGGGACAGCAGAGGACCCTGTCTGCGGTCCAGGTGATTTGTCACTGGATGAGGTTCATTATGGCTGGCAGTGTATTGTTAGGGTAACTACTGATGCGGAATTGGGTCATGAATCAGACACAGACATATCATGGTTCCCTCACAGTTGTGGTAATACTGCGTATGCTCCATAGTCCACATATTAGTGAGCTAGTCCACTTGGGATAGAGAGCAGGTGCAGATTTAGGTTCAATATGTTGCATGTGCTACCGTATATAAATTTAGCTTGGAGTGCATAAACCAAATGCGTGTGACTCTAAAAATATCCAACTCGAAGGTGGCATATGCTGGTGTTTCCTAAAACACACAGGAGCATCATATAAAAATAACTACCTCAGTATTTTCTAATGGGCCAGAGGAAGTATAAGGTCCTGTGGTCGTCAGCACGACAACTACCTAATGTCTATATTTTGTTTTTTTTTGTTTTCTGGCTGAAGATGTTTAACAGCAGTAGAATAATAACGATAAAGAAACGAGAAGTAGAGATAGCAGGATTATCTAAGCTTAGCCAGGCATTGGAAGGGATTGACTATTGTTAGTTCTAGATCTGACTACTAAATCACTAATCTTTTAAATGGAATATTTTTGTAGAGTGCCACAGAACAGTTTCGATACGGCACTAAAGCAGACAGCCAGCTCAGTTGGTCCAAACCAAGAAGCATTTGTCATATCTAGAACGAAATTGATAATCTTTCCACCTGGCTGTATTCCTTGTTCCTTGAAATTGTTTTGTTTGTGTCGGAGGATTATATTCATACAAAACAATAACACTGTACCAGCAAAATCAACTGTGTGACCGGGGAATCCCTGTGACGTTTAAAGCATCTATCAAAACTGACATTGGAGTTTACATATAATTTTGCCTGTATATGATTAAATATAAACATGCGAGAATTTTGAAATCTACGGTAGCTACACATTTTTATAAACATGCGAGAATTTTGAAATCTAGCTACACATTTCCTTTTAAAAGTAAGGATCATTTATTTGTACATTAATTTAAAATACTGCATATCATTCGGCTTTTACAATTTCATTCTGGATTTGCTGTTTCCGTCCACCATCGAGAGACAAAGATTTTATTACTGCAGTGCCTGAAGTTATAAAAGTGATGGAGGTTTGCTGTGCTTGTCTTTGTAAATAGTAGTTGCTAAGACATACCAAGTAAGTCAAAAGATAGTGTTAGTGCTCATATATAGATAAAATGTATTTTACTCATATTGTATCAATAAGTGGGTGAAGCCAAGATTCCTGATCTTTGCAAAAGTGTCAAGTCAATAGTTTTATTAAAGTCTGTATTACAGTAGTTCTCCATCGACAGACAGAGAGTCAAATGATCCTACGGTCTTGATGAGATTTCCAGTTTTCCTCCTTAGAATCTGAAGTTATTTTGGTTAATTACATTGTATTAAACAGTGAAGTGACTTTGTACTAATGGGGGTGCTGTGTGTGTGGTAAACGAAGTTGGTTATCAGTCCCAATTTTATTTGTCTTAGAAATTCAGAATTTTATATTAAATATACTGCAAGGGTTATACTCCTTCAGGATTACTTATAAAAAAGAGATCAAGAGTAAACCAAGTGGAAGAACCACATCGCTTCGGATGACTAATTAAGTCTAACAGTGGGTTGGCTTTATTAGGCAATCATTGACCTTTCCTTTTTCCACCTGTAAGTAATTCAAAGCTTTCCTTTTTTAACCTTTAATCATCCCTCTTTGGGGCTCTGTGTTCTATTTTACTTTTCATTCTTTAACCTTTCCGCTGAAACCCTCTTCCTTTCTAGCTGGGTTTGTGAAGTCGCCCATGTCTGAGACTAAGCTAACAGGAGACACCTTTGAGCTGTACTGCGATGTGGTTGGTAACCCCACTCCAGAGATCCAGTGGTGGTATGCAGAGATCAACCGAGCCGACTCCTTCAAGCAGCTGTGGGATGGAGCCCGCAAACGTCGGGTGTCTATCAACACGGCCTACGGCACCAATGGGGTTAGTGTGCTTGGTATCACGCGCCTTACACAGGAGGATTCTGGGACATACGAGTGCCGGGCCAGCAACGACCCCATACGTAATGACTTTCGACAAAACCCTGCCATCACCTGGATCCGTGCCCAGGCCATCATTTCGGTGCGACAGAGTGAGTGGTCACTGTCCAGTAGTATCTAGGTGTTGAATACACTACCACTCCCTCCCCCCCAACCCTATAACAGCTTCCCAAATATAAAAAAACCAAACGTTTATTTACATTTATTATAGATTTTATACAATAATTTGAAGTACACATATCTAAAAAGTCAGTGTCTGTTTTTCCCTCATGTTTGTATTAATATTAAAATGTATTTTTTTTTTATGTTTACCCTGTTGAACTTATATTCCCTCTCTCCCCAAATCCCTTGAGCATGTTTGGTAAATGACCACAAACCCAGAGCTTTACTCTCTCCCTTGCCTCAGTTTTTCCTTTGTTCTTCCTGTCTAGTGTCCTTTTTTTTCTTCTTCTAATTATCAAATCGTGACTTATCTTTGTTTTCTAATTAACTGTTTCCTCTCCCTCTGTGTATTTGTGCCCCTCATGTTTTGTCTGAAGCAGTGCTTTGATTAATTATTTACTTCAAAGCCCTCACTGTCAGTTGGACTTGACACTGGTGGTGATTTGAAGTAATGGTGCTTTAGACTTGGCTTTTTCACCAAGGCTTGTTGAAATAGGACTGTGAGAAGACACAAGGAGGGTGACGTTGGCTGCCAACTGCATTCTGATTACTGATGACTATTTTCTGCTTTCAAATTTGTGAGTGGTAATCATGTACAAGTTGACAAGACACGAGGGCCATGGGTGTCTCGTCTCTTGTTTAGAAAATAACTTTCACCCGGACAAAATAGTCCATCTGGACTGGACTGCTATGTGTAACCTTGTGCCTTCTCAGCCACCAAGCATGTGACATTGAATCAGTAATGACATTATATCCTTTAACACTGCTGTATGCACTGAAACACAAAACACAAACTGGATTTCGACTGGACCAAGGCTAAGTCTGACTTTTAAAGAGTGCCTTTTGTTATACATAGAAAAGCTGTTTATTGCACACAGTGTATTATGTCATTACTGAAGTTAAATAGTAATAATAATAATGATTATTATTATTATATATGTGAGATGCAAATAATTGCATGTATATCTGATTAAAAACAGTGTAGTTTGTAGATGGCAAAATGCATGAGTCTGATTTTCTGTTAAATTTTGCATAAAAATATGAATCCTGACATGAAAACTACTGCTCCACATTTTAATAATCTAATCTACAGTTACATCAACTGGAAAAATCTAAGTATGTGGCATTCTAACTTTTCCAATCCTTATATGAAGTTATGTCTACAAAGATTGGCCAAATTTGATATGTTTTAACAAAGTATTAATTGAAAGTGTTGGGTTAGTCCTTAAAAACTCCTTTACTTAATAAACCAACTGCTGACACATGATTTCTGTCTCAGCAGTGCTGCGACCGGTCTCTGATTTGAGAGCCCTACTCTCCTGAGACCATGTTACTAAAATCTAGACATTTGCAGTGCAGTAGCTGTGGCTGTTTACTGCATGGTTTCAGAAATGATTTAAATATAACTCTGAACCACCATATGACCTCATGAGGAACACACACGATTCAATCATTTTAGGCAACCTTCTGTATTGTATAATAATTGCCAGGTTAGATAGGCTATGCATTTAGATGTGGTACCTGTTTCACAGAGCCCACTATTTCTTTTTATATAAATATAATGTGATGCAACGTTTAGGTGTTATTAGCAGCATGCTACATGTGACAAGGTGTCCTACAAATAACCTTCAAGTTAAACTGTCTGTGGACTAGTGTGCTGCATTTGCTAAATGTTAATTTATGTACCTCATGCAGTGTGTGTGTGTGTGTATACGCATGTCTCTAAGATGCTATGAATAGCACACGGTTCAGCTTAACGGGGGAGAAAAAAACGTCCGGGGGAGGGGAGAGACTTCCCCTCAGCTACTGCGTACGCAAAATAGCTGGGAGACAGAGCTACGAATGCAAATTTAAGTCGCTTGCCGTCTGAGTAGCCTCTCTTCCCCCTCTCCCCTCCTCTTCTGCCGTACTTAGTAGAGGCTACGGCAGAAGCAGCCAGTAGTAGGATTACGATGCCTCTCTTCTCTGCTCCTCCCCCCGGGGGTTCCATTGTTGCCATGGTTGGTCCATCTTGAATGAGGAGGAGGGACAGAGCAGGGAAAGGCTGCTGCTGCTGCTGCTGAGTACTCGAGGCCAAGCAAAGTGTGCCGGAAGCTCAGACAGCACCTCTCATTTTTTTGCTTCATGAGCAACTGAGAGATTAAAAATACCAAATGTATCCGGGACGTCAAGTTAAATATAATTACAGTCTACACTGTTCTCCAATTACTCCAGTTGCGCTCACCTGTGTCTGAGAAATTACTCCAATTGCGCTCACCTGTGTCTGAGGCTTCACCTGCGTCGCCACTCTCGTACTCTCCCTCCTGCAGCTGAACACTAACCTCTGCCGTGTCCTGTATTTCATTTATTTACGTAATATGTATGTTTTGTGTAGGAAATGGTAATACAGTCTAGGGAGGGGTGATAACAGTCTGGGGCCCGTACTTTGCGGATTTTCCCTTTTCGCGGTGGGTCCAATGTCAGGTAAAACGGAACTACCGCGATAGGAGAGGGACCACTGTACACTTATATTTATGCATGCGTACATAGCAGACGTACATGGCAATATTGGGAATTGAGCTTTTTATTGCTTAGTTAAAAGAAACACATTTTCATTACTTGCGTTTCCCTCTATGGAAAGCAATTGTTTTTCTCTCCATTTCATGTATTTATTATGCCTTTTGTTTACTTGTTTTGTGCCCTTTTGTCCTCACCTCGTAGACACCCTCCCACACAGATTATATAAAAACTGCGTTCAGCCTACGAAAGCTGCTGCCAGTGGTGAAGCAATAAAACTGCATTGAGCCCAGTTCTGTGATAAGGTCGGGCTGTTTTATTTGTGTTACAGAACCAAAGATAAATTCCTCTGAGGAGATCATTCTATCAGCGGACTCTTCGAACAAACCAGTCACCCTGTTCTGTAACATCACCACCGCCAACACGCCGCATGAGGAAAGCTTCTGGATGAAGAACGGCCAGGAGATCCCCAACACACGATCGGAGCAGGGGAACACAAACTACAGGTGACAAACACCTCCCCTACTATATGTACACGATTTCACAAAATATAGTAAATAATAAGTGCCTAATGGAACGAGAAATAATAAAAAAACCAACCCATAAATAGTCACTTTACAGCTGGTTTACTTGAAGCAGAAACAACAAGAACAGCCTTTTGAAAATTATAAATATTACAATATAATGATAATATCATTATATTTATCACGAACAAGTCACTGAGGTTGTTTTGCAGAATTACAAATTTGCTCAAAACCCTGTTATATTTGTTGTTCCAATGGTTATCAAAACAAAGACAATTCTAATTAAATAAGATCTGACCTTTTGCTTCATACCAGGAAACGTCTTTTCCAACCCAAAGTACCAAGTAATTCTCCATCTGGCTCTTATGCAGCATAACAACTCGGAGACAAAGCCACTGCTCAAGCTTCACTGACTCTCCCTTGCCACAAGATAACACCAATTGGTCACTTCCCTGTCACATTACATCAGTGGTCTCTGAGGATTACAGCTAAAATGCCTCTGGTGCCTTCCCTACAGAAGCTGGAGCTGCTGCTCCGTAATACATAACAACATAATGGCAACACTTACTGTCCTGTGGTCGCGCACGGCCCTGCAGCTGATACAAGTGCAGTTTAAAGTAATTACTGGAGTTGAACTCCGGTTAGTTGATGTTATTTACTTAATTACCTGTGAAGTAGAGTAACTGCTGAACTGACCAGACGGATCACACCGTTTTGTTTTTTCTTCGAGCAGAATCGTTAAACCCAGAGCGGACGATTCTGGGGAATACATGTGTGTTTACACATTCAGCACCATGCCAAATGCAAACGCAACAATTGAAGTTAAAGGTGAGTTCCCTCACGGGAAATATATATTCATGACAATGCTTAAATGTTGAACAGGCATTAGAGCGCACATTATCTGGCCAGTGAGATGGACAGTTAAGGTGTGTGTCTAGGTTCTCAGTTACATCGAGGGCAACTGGACGGAGTAGGTTTCTTGAAGACGAACTGAAGAAGCCTCTCTGATAATATGGGCAAAGAGAGAATATTAGCCAAACAGACATGTACCTCACGTAGAGCATCCTTTGCTGCATAGCTACAAAACGTGGTGTAAAATCCCTTCTACTAGTGTATGTAACTGAGCTGCCTCACAGCAAGAAGTCCAACAGTTGGCATTTTCCCCTCATGTCCATGTGGGTTTCCACCAGGTTATCACCCACACAGTCCCGCAGACGAGGGATTAGGTTAATTGAATAGTCCAAATTGAAGATGGTAGGTGTGAAAGTGAGTGTACACAGAGGATTTGACTCTGAAAGTCTGTCCTGTTGTTGACCAAGTGACCTGTTCAGGATGTCGGCTAGGACTGGCTCAGATCCTGCTATGGCCAGGATAAGTGGTAGATGATGGATGAATAATTGAGTCCCATTGAGTTCTGTATGTTTAACTAGTGAAATTCAACAGCAGTGGATGTAAAGGGAGAGCTAACGAAAGACCCCCTGTGTTGGTTTCTTTGAAGTTGATGGAGAATCCATCAGCACGAATCAGGAGCCTTCTCTAAGAAAGGGCAAGTGGATCCCTGTTTCAGAGAATCGTGGCTGTTTGAAGTGTTTAAGCCAATTTACTGTGGCATGGCTGTGGTGCATACTGAGCATGTCCTGCCTCTTATCACATGGCTGTCTTCAAGCACTGGCTGATTGCATAACATGAGCGATGACCCCGTGTGTTCTGCTTTTACTGGGCTGGAAGGTGACGGCGCTCGTCGCCATTTAAATGGAAGGTGTTCGTGCAACGACCAGACTGAAAAATACTGTCCTCAAAATAGTATCGCATTTCACAATTCTAAGGTAAATAAGACATGGTCTCACACACACACACACACACACACACACATGAAGTGAAGGGTTTTAACATGACACATTCAAATTCATATAAGTGATGGGAGACTTTTGTGACCCAGGTAGTAGGACCATGACCATGGTCCCCAGATTTGCTCCGTGCTCCTGGCAGCGTTTCACTGAGATCTCTCGCCTACAGTGTCCTTGGCAGACTCATGATTGCAGGACTGGGCTCAGAGGCAACAGATGGAGGGTTCTGTGATGTTGTAGGATTAAGTCGCTGAATCCTGTCCCAGCCATCTCTGTGGCAGGAGCAGAATTTATTGTCTGTGATACTAAGCTTACCGCTGACATATATTTGTGGTACCTCTGTTTTGCCTTAATACATCTCCTAACGTTGCCTCTCCCTGGTGTCTTTCGACTCTCAAAGTCAAATTGCAAAGCTACTGCACAGTGAAAAGAAATTAAAGTAGGTAACGAATGAATTATTTCATTTTGCTGCTATTCAAAGTCACCTTTCTCTGTTTCTTTTCTACTGCTTTTTGTCAGCCTGCCTCATGAACTCACTTCTCCTTACTCATCCTTTCAAATTTGTATTTAACTCAAGCACTGTCTGAAAAAAAAAACAGATTAACAATTACAGTAATCAGACAGGCAAATGCTGGTTCCTGAGCCACTCATAAATGGTCAATGTGCTGTCACTCAGTGACATAATACAGACAGGCTTAAAAGAGCTTGACCACTCCCCCACTCTGGGAGCATGTGTTCACCGTAATTAGAGTGAAGTCATGTCACCACAGAGAGCTGACTTCTCCTGATCTGTTATCCATGAACAACAAAAAGATGCTCCCTCCAGGCTGCTCCCTTATCCCACTTAATTGTATAGAAGGAATTATTGTAATTTTGAGGATTAGTGTAAAAAAAAAAAGAAGAAGCAGAAACAGTTATCTTTTTGACTCTGTGCACAATGAATACTGTCTGTGTCTGCCCTGTTAGCAAAGACTCGGTTTGAAGGCATGTGTTTTTTGGCTCTGTGACATATTGTACATCAGAATTGAGCTAATTCCTCATCTTGTGACAGTATAGGTTATCACTCTGTCTTTTCTGTGTTTACGGAAAAGTCGGGTTACACAATTATCTCTGTGTGAATCACTGTGGAATTAATTTGAATGGAACATCTGGAGGCTCTTGAATCATACTGATCTCTCTCCTCCATGACCCTATTATGAATTGCACTGAAGGGCTTTCACCTATTACACAGTGATCTTCTCCGCTGCATGGTTTAAAAAAAAAAAAATAGAAAGGGGAAATTTTTTTTTCCAAAGTCATATCAAGGTCATTTCGTCAGGCATTCAGAAACGATAACTGCAGCATGTGGTCATTCTTAAAACAAGTTAAAGAAAACATCTGTCTTTTCTAAAGCAACATGAAATAACATTTAAATTAAAGACTCACCTTCACCTTGACCAACTGGTGCCCTGACTACAACCTAAATTGGACAATGAGGTTATTTATACACGACACTTATCTGAATAGCGAGCGCTAGCTTCCCTTTGACTGCGACAGCTTGAAGGCATGACACTGAGCTGCTATAGAGAATGTTTCCTGCCACACAGGCTCGTAATCACACTCCTCTTACACAGACATCTGAATAACACCATTTATTAACTTGGCCATGACAGCAAATCCTGCCTCCCCTTATTTTTGCCATCTGGTTGGAATTTAAACATTTCTTTCATCGGCAACCTCTATTGACATGACTAATTGTCAACAAATGTACTAATTGTTTTAACCTTTTACAGCAAAACCTCACATAACTGGCTACAAGAAAAGTGAAAACAGAAAAGAGGGAGAAAATGCAACGATGTACTGCAAGTCTGTTGGCTACCCACATCCTACCTGGACGTGGCGTAAGGTGGATGGCAATTCCTACACGGTAACTGCATACATACTGTTTTTTTTGTCGTAAATTGTTTCATTAGGTCAGAGCCTACATATTGCAAAACATGTAGAGAAGTGGAACTTGTTGGCCGGTCAACTTTCCTTTTGGGAAACATGGAGTTAGAACAGCGGACAGCAATGAAGGCCACACACAAAGTGTTGCGTTGAAGTCTTTATTGTCCTTGAACAATTTGGTCTGACAAGCCGTACCATCAGACTCAGACTAATGCTTGTGAGCCATAATGAAGGGCAAAAAGTTTCAAAGTAATATAGCGTACCACCCAGTACAGAGTCATCTTCCTCATCGGAATGAGGGAACAAGACTTTCTTAATGAATTTATATGTAGGGAATCTGGCGACACCGTGGGCCAAGGATGTCGTAAACCGAGGACCCTCTGAACAGCTTGGATTCTATGTACCAAAACTCTCTTTTACTAATGTAAAAAAAAATGTTGATTTTGTTCCAGGACATCGATAACTCCACCGGACGGTTCTTCATCACTAACAGAGACAACTACACAGAGCTTAACATCCTGAACCTGGACATCAGCACAGATCCTGGAGTATACGAATGCAATGCCACCAATGTGATAGGGAACAATGCTGAGACAACTATACTACGTGTGCGCAGCCATCTCGCACCACTCTGGCCATTCCTGGGGGTGCTGGCTGAGATCATTATCCTAGTAGTCATCATCGTCGTGTATGAGAAGCGCAAGAAGCCAGATGACATCATCGATGGTAAGAAAATAATGTATGATATTTGTGAAGTCACATTAAACCGTGGTATGCCACCAAAAAGAAGTGCTATATTAGAATGTGCAGTACTTACTGTACGCAAAGTTACAGTGGATAATAACTTCACATCTGGCCTGAGCACAACAGGCTGGACTGACAGCTGTCGGTCTGTAGTTGTCGGTCTGTAGTTAACAACCGTGCCAGTCTTAATGTGCAACTTCACTGGTTACTATTCTTTCCCCTTTTCCCCTCCTTTTCAAATGGAAATGTAATCTAAATGTGTGGTAAGTGAGAGCTCATGCATGGTTTGAGATCTATTTTTTTGTCCACTTGTATGTCTCAAGTTCACATGAATACATGACTAATTTTGGTTGCAAATAATTAATTGGATAAAATGTCTAAACTCGCTTCATGGTGGATTTTAGTCATTAGCGTGGCAGACTGACGTCTCGCCTAAAGTTGAAGCCCTCAGAAATGCATGCTGGGCTTTGAGATGGTATTTTAAGCTGGAGATGCTTTGGCGAAACAAAGATTTTTTTTTTTTTTTTTTTTAATGCAGCGTGTGCAAATAACAACATGCCTAAAATCCAAACCTTTACCATGGAGATGAAGCTTCTTAATCATTTGGTTAATGACAGAATGCACCCACGCAGACAGCTTTTTTTCCCTCACATATGCATGGAGCAGCAGGGGTGTGACATCTTATGTTGCAGTTTGATGTCTCTAAACATATTTCTCGAGGAGTCAGAGTCAGAGTCCCATCATTCCATAGGACTGGGTTGTTTTGAGGGAATTACAGTGAGTGAAAAATCACAGCTGTTGGCCCTGGTTTTGTTACATTACATAACATGTAGATGTTCATACTAATATTTTTCCTGTTTAATGGTTGTTGAGACCTATAGAGGCTGTGACCAGTCCTTTTTTACATTAACGACCTGGACATGCCATGTAAACAGCTTCTTGTAGGGCAACATTTTTATGCTCATGTAGAGAAAAAGAGTGCACCCTCATCAGGCCACGTGCCCCTACTGTGATTTATATAGATACTAAACTCTTTAATGGTTCCTACTTCAGCGGACATTTGAGGTTACACTTGAGTGTCTGCAGCTAGGGAGTGAACAATGTAACTTAATATTAAATTCACCCATAACATAAGCAAGGAAATCCGAAAGCACAATCTGTAGATGGAAATATAAGTAGGACTGTATTATGTAGGATTAGGCTGTTTTCTAATACGGAAATAATTTGCACATTCATTCACAAAGTGAATTCAGGTTTTGGTTTCATGAAGTACTTTACTGTATATACAACCTCCTGTATTGTGCAATGCTGGAGGGAAGGACACACTCACATGACAAGAGCAGGCAAACATTTACTGTTCATGCTGTTCCAAAGACAGTGTAAATGCTTGAATCCAATCAAAATGCAGCTATTTCTTTAGTGCGAATCAGTATAGTGATGCATCTGTATAAATGAAAATAAAAACAACCAAAATAGGTTTCTAATATAATAACAACCAAACACATTACTACTATTACTGTCGATAATTTTGATGAAAAATAAATTCAATAAAATATAATTAAAAATTAATTTCTAATTCAACAATCAGAAGTCATGCCAAGTAATTAGAAAATAGATTTACCTTATACATTTGTTACTTTACTATAATGGTAACCAAACTGGCACTGTGTCACTGCAGCTTCTCTAAAACATTTCTATGAATCTAGTCAATCCACCCAGTACAAGTAAGCTGTGTGCATGGCCTCATCTTTGGTTTCATCTAGCGGGAAAGTGAAGCGATTAAGGTGGATTAAATTTACCATTCTAACCAGGAATGAGGTCCTTATATTGTACAGCCTCTCTAAAATCTCCTGTTTTCACCAGATGTTTTGCGCCCTGTCTGTAGCCATTGTACTGTAACCTCAGCTCATGTTAATGTTTGAACACTTCATGTTCCCACAGCCAGAAGGCCCACAGGGCAGAAATATCACATATTTGTTTGAAAAGACAGATTGTAGCATGTGATAATTATTTGCTGAATGAGGGCTCATTCTCTGTCAGATGGCATATAGATGATAAAATGGCCATACTTGGGTACGAGAGAGAGAGAGAGAGAAAACAATGGAAGACGTTTTTGTCTCGCCCCTAAACCTGCTCCATAATAACACCATGGAATGCTGCTAATGCTGTTTTATCTCTGACCCATAACTGCATGAGACATATCTCTGTTGCTGGTTACTTACCCATTTTCATCAGTACAACCAACACCGGCCGCCTTGTCCACTCCAAGGTCTTTGAATTGACCTGTCAGTCAACAATGTTCACTACGTATTCTCCCGTTGTCCTTTTGGAGCCTCTTCATCATGGGTCTATTTTAAGAACAATAAGATGTTTTTATGTTTGTCCAGGTGAAAAAAAGAGTGAATTTTCCATCTAATTGACAGTATTGAAGTACCAAAAACTGATATAAAGGAAATCAAATCTCATGGTGGTGCTGGGTTGTAAGATCACACAGACACATACATGTACAGTATACGGCGACTTCACTGATGCTGTAATTATGACCAAGCTTTTGGTAATTCAAAGATGGTTCCACTGTGGGTGAGCCAGCTTTACCCATCTGTGTTTAGGCTCTGCCTAGATGAAGTACTACCCTGGACAAGTGGGTTGCATGTGAGGTTAATGATTTTTGACAATGAAGCTGTGGCTGTTTAGACAAATCACAACAGCTTTCTTTTCATGTTAAAGCTTTCATGGATATGTCACTGCTGACCTTTTTCCCACGCAGGAGGTCTGCTGTCGTAGAAGCAGCCTTTGTTTAAATTCCAGGTTTTGAGATTATTTTTGAAATTGATAAACTTTACTACCAAGATTATTGGGTTGCCAACGGATTCAGAAATGAAAAGTACAGAGTATTTCCACTGAGTATTATTATTTTTTTATCCATCAACATAAGGTCATTGTCTTCTACCACTGAAGAGACTAGGCTGCCATCTACTGTAGGTTATCTGATGAGAGTTTTTTTTTTTTGAATGGAGGGTGTTGACAAAATATGACAAACTTTGTGAATGGAGGGTGTTGACAAAATATGACTTTTTTTCCCCCATAAATAAAAATGTATATTTCAGTATGTTTGGTACATCAGTTTTGTTACTCAGTGTAACGTAATTTTGTGCTCCTGTAATTATAGTAACCTCACAATTGCCTGGGAAAAAGGAAAGTCAACTGCCTGCATAAAGATGTAGAGCCTGCGTTTTCTATGGGAGCGCTTTTTTTTTTTTAAATCTTAAACTTTGACCTGTGTTCTTCGTTTTTCTTATCTTCTCTGCCTGTGTCTTATAGATGATGAACCAGTTGGACCGATGTAAGTATGCCTTCACTTAATATTCAAACTCACCAGTGCAATTCCAAATGTTATTTCTTTGATGTCCCTTAATGAAAACTGCTTCATATCGCAGGAAAACAAATTCAACAAACAACCACAAGGACAAAAACATGCGCCAGAGGAATACAAAATAAGCAATTAACTAAAGTAAGACACTGAGGTCAAGGATTGGGGATAAATATAGTCACAGCCAGAGTTAGCCACAGTTAGCCAGCTTTGTAAAGCTTTCTCTTGGTTTTTGTCTTCCAGGTGAGATGGCTAAAACTGCATTTCTTTTGACAACGCGGAGGTATCAGCAGTGGATAGATCTCCCGTGCAGTTTTGATCCAGCACATCTTGTCTCATTTTTTGAGAACCAATATCAGCATAACACTGGCAACAATAAGAACATAACGGCTGTCTTAAGCATGCCTTGTTCAGTCTTACGTGGAGATTTCAGGATGACGAATAATGACTAAAACCACCACAAAGGTGTACACATTTTCAATGTGCTGTTGATGTCTTCTTTATTTACTTCATCATGTCCTCAAATGAGGTGATCCCTTTTGTATTACATATCATGTACAATGCATGCAAGATAATTACGCAATAGGATACTCAGAATAGAAATCTTCTGTTGTTATCCCCCCGTGTGGCTTTTTATTGCATTTAAAATGATCTGTGTTTTCTAATGATGTCATCTTTATAGCACATGTATATCATATTCGTATATATATGTGCGGCACACATATATATCATATGCATATATATGTAATATATAGAGTTTTATTCTTGAAGATTTGTACAGCATATCATGGTCATTTAAATGTTTGATTTTGTGGAAACTCTTTCTTGACAGAACCTTTTGTTGTGAAGCCACGGCTCCACTGACTGGCAGTATTTGAATCTTAATTGAGAGTGGTTACAGAAAAAGGTGTGTTTAAATATCTAAACTAAAATATTAATGTGTATTATTTTTATTTTTTATTTTCAGAGTAACTTAGGTGTCTTGTATATGTTGAAGTATGAGTGTTCAAATATTAGGAAATCTGTAAAAAAAAAAAACGACAATATTTTTTTTATTCCCCCGATTTCATGGACTGGTTTTAATTTGTTTCTCTTAAATGTATAGCATGGCTATAATCCTATGCAATATGTATTCTTCAATAGCTATATGGAGGGCGGTTTGTTTTACTCAGTGAAGCTTTAATATAGTGGGATCATTTGGAAACTGGCATAGCAAAATTCACTGCTGTAGCTGCATGACTCCTGTTTCAATTCAATGTATCCATGTGTGTGTGGTGGTGGAAATGGACCTGGGTTTAAGTGGGGGGTGGGAGGGGGTCAGAGGGACCAGAGTATATAGCCACGAACATAAGTGAGACCAATATTTTTTTCTGAATAAAAACTATAAAAATGTTTCTTTTATATTTTATTTTGCAAATTCTTCTCTTACCACAGAAATACAGTGCAAATGAAAGTGAAC